AAAAAAAAAAAAAACTTGCCCCCAGCAAAAAAAAAAAAAAAAACCAATCCCGCTCTCCGTGCCATGACTGGTTTCCGTCCACAGACCCTGTGAACGGTGAACAGGGGTACAACACTGCTCGGGGCCAATTTTCTTCCAGTCTCGAAATGCCGTACAGTAGTCCCTAGCCAGGCCCTCGTGTATGTCCTAAACATTCCGCTCATCCCCCTGTTTTTTCTTTTGCCCATCTTCTGTCCACCGCACCTCCACCATCCAACCTTCTCGCCTCCCCCCCAGCCAATCTTCACCGAACCGGGAAATGATCCAGTCAGCGTCTCCCCACGTGGGAACGCTATCCAATTTCACCTTGGTCGCCTGCCACTAAGATGTGATCTCACTTTGGATCAAGAGTTTAAGCTGCTCAGTCACCTCCCCTTCCTCCGCCTTGGTTCCTTCCCTTTCCAAAATGCATCTCCTCCACCATATCACCCAGAGCACCGATCACCTACCAACGCGGAAGAGGTTCTCTATAAAGGTGCTCTCCTGGGCATGAGGGTAATGTCCCAGCAAGATTGCCCTCCACGGGCCTCCAGTCCCATGGCCAGGGCGTGTCTGGTACCCCCTGACGCCAGACCCTATCCCACCAGCGCCATAGTAGTACCGATGAGGGCCATTGCTTGAAAATATGCTCTTGTGTCTCTTCGTGCTTATGAGATGGAAAATTTTGCAGGCATCTTCGACAGCACGACATTGCCCGCCCTTGCTGTTCCAGACTGGTGTGGTCAATCGGCCAGTCATTTGTTGGCAGGCAGCGGTGGGCTATCCGCCATTCCAGGGAGGAGATCTTTGTTGGCTTCAGCTTGTAGTCCCCAAACCACTTGATCGGTCTCAGCAGGCCTCGTTCAACATTGAGTTGGCGCTGCCACCTGTCCTCTACGATGTCTCGCAGATTCTTTTACGCTCTTAACATTCTATACGTTGTCTTTGCCTTCAGGTGGGTTAGATCCACTTTCGTTTGGACCCTCCTTCCTCTTTGATTGGCAAGGTCAACCTGGTTTGTTGGGCTCCACCTCCATTCACTGGGGTCGAGGGGTACGTCGGAAATCGGTGTCATCGGTCTGTAAGCCATCCAACCTCTATCCTCTTCTAGCACTCTGATACGATAGACCGCCTTCCTTTCTTTCTGAAGGAAACACTACCTGATACCAGTTAGCCCGCCGTTAACGACAGTCGAAAAACAACATGGAAGACATAGAAACACTATATTGCAGGAACCCAGTCTGGCAACGATGTGTGCAAGCTGCGAATCTAGACATGCGATCGATCAACGTGAATGGCCTAGCCCGGCTAGCCCTGTGCAACCCAGAGAAAAGACAGGCTTGAGGGGGGGGGGGGAGACGGTGGCCGGATGTGGTGTGCATCCAGGCGACCAACTTAGAAGACAGACTGGAGCATCACAGAGCCAAAAAAATGGTGTGGCCCCACCCGGCATTTTGGGCCCATTCTCCCAGACCGGGTTCGGCAGGGGTTGCGATATGGATACCCGCCGACTCTAGAATCAAACCGGCCCACTAAACAACAGACGAGGAGGAGGGACAGTTGGTCTCAATGATAGAGATGTGGAACAAGAGTTGCTTTGCATCATTTGTATACATTCCCCGAACACAGTAGGCGAGAGAAGAATGTTCCTCGAGGGGCTTGGGCTGCAAATACCAGAGGGGATCCCGCTGGTGATTGCAGTGGACTTTTATGCGGCCCCTAATAGATGGCAGGATAGACGGAACCCACAGGCATCTCCCACCTTCGTTGTGGAAGAGGACGGGCAAATGTTAGCAGACTTGTGTGATTCCCTTTCTCTTTTTGATATTTTTTGCCGCCTGCACCCAAATGATTGTACGCTCAAATATGTCAGGAACAACGACCCGATGAGATTGTCTGGTTCACAAATCGACTTGATCCTTCCTTCAAAGGACCTGGAAGGCGCGCTACGATGGGCTGCTATTCTGCCGCGTAACCCATACCTGGGTCTGGATCACAAGATATCAAGATTTGTGGAATCATCTTGACAATGCGAAAGCAGCCCGATCAGGGTCATGGTTTCTATAAATTAAAGACCTCCTTGTTGAAGGACCATTTTTTCCTGCATTTCGTTCGTGATGTGTGACAATATTGGCAGCAACAAAAGCCCCACTTTAAATCCCACTGCACATGGTTTACTAATGGTCTGATTTTCCTTGCCAAAAAATGCAAGGACTTTTCTAAGGAAAAGGCAGCCTGACAACATTGCCAGGAACTTGATATTTATAAGGAGCTTCTCGACATAGAACAACAAGCAGACTCACAAGAGCATATAAACATTATTCAACAGTTAAAAAAATGTATGTTGCAGCTTGCACAATATAGATGACAGGGTGCGAGGGTCAGAAGGAAGACGGTTAAACTCACCACAGAAGCCACAATGGATAGCCATGTTTTCAGTATGGCGACAACCTGCGCTCGAAGGACAATAGTCGAGACACTCTTCAAGCCGGCCAAGGGAGAGGAGGTCATAGCTACAAATATGGCACATTGCACACTCATCACGAGGACATTCTTCAAACACCTCTACTCGTCGAAAATCTGGAACACGCAAGCATATAATAGGGAGCGGGACCTGGAGAATTTTCTTCAGCCCTCGGACAAACAATTGTCCCCGCAACAGAGATAGACCCTGGAAATGTCACTCCTAAAAAATGAAATATGGACAGCGTTTCTCCAAATGGAGGAAGAAAAGACACCAGGCTTTAATCGGCTATTAGGACAGGGGGTACCTTGATAGCACGTCACTGCGACGGAACCGTTTCATTCATTCTTCTATTTTGGCGTTTCTATGTTGGCTTGTGTAGCAAGGAGTCAGGCCCGGCTCATGACCAAGGGAGGCCTTGCCGGTGACCAACCACCATGACCCGTTTCAGTTTGTTTTGCGAGCGCAGTACCCGGACAGCTCGACACTGTGCTAGGATTTCCATTTTTACTTTTTTCGTTTTCTGTGAGTAGTCGGGCCCGGTTCGGAACCAGGCATGGGACCAACCGGTGTGGACCCGTTGTAAGTGCTTTTGGTGTGCAGTCTGTGACCCGGTAGTTTAGAGTATATGAGCATTTATTGCGTGTTCTATTGTCAGGACTAACAACCGGGTCTGCTGATGGTCTCCGGAGACTACTGCAGCGAACGACGGGAGAGGGTTGGAAGGGGAGCTTGACTAGTGTGGGGGAGGTGGGGGGAAAACCCCTGATGAGATGGCGGTGGCCATCGAAACGTGTCAGGGACGCACTCCAACTTGTATTCTTCCTATATTTTTGAAACAGAAACATTCAATGATGCTGTATACTTTGCAAGTTTGAACGTCTTCGATGTTTGGCTTTGTGATAATACGACTATTACGTATTGTGCACGTTAATGTAGCTGGGGTCCAGTTTAGCCGGGTGGAGTGAGCGTGTATACACAACTGGTGACGGTTGACTGTTAACTGTTGAACTGCGACGAATCGCCGGAGTGGAGTAGTGGTGGGTGGCTACGCATTGAACTTTGAGGGGAGGTGTCGAGATGGCGAATGCAGATCAGCGCGATGGTGGACCTGCTGGCGGAGGCGGTCCGGATGACCGGAGGTGGTACAAACCTCCTACATGTTTCTCATGTAATGAACCACGGCACTACGCGAACCAGTGCCCAAATCGAGTCCCGAGGCACCATCACGCAGCAAGACCATCGACTTCCGTGGATTCCCGCGGATCTCGATCTCCAAGAAGATACGACCCATGGAGAAGAAGGGAGTCACGGGAGAGGGACTCAGAGATTTGAGCTACGGTGATGAAGTTGAGCAAATCCGTGTCAGCCATGCATGACTTCGTCGAGCAGCAGAACCTGAAGGAGGAAAAAGCACGGAAGAAACGTGAGATGAAGGACGCGGACGAACAGGAGGAGGCCGAGAGATTAAAGCAAGAGGCGAAGGAAGCACGGGCGGCGGAGAAGGCCCGAAAATGTGCCGAAGAACAGAAGAAAGCAGCGGATGCAGAAAGGGAGAGACGTGCCCAGATGAAGAAGGACGTAGACCTCTCGGTGACAATCAGGATTAGCGAGATGGAGGACAGCAGGTTCCAGAGGCTGCACACCGTGAGCGATTAAAAAGTTATCTATTTTTTATGGTAATCTGCCTGTTCAAAAAGTAGCAAAAAAAACGTATACTTATTTAGACAAACAAAAGAGTTTGTTATTATTAATGGAGAAAAGATTAGAGGCGTTCGCAAGAACGTAAGAGCATATCCGGGCCACTATACACGGCAGGTGACAAAAAAGGAAAGAAGAAGGTTACGTACGCTTCCAACCTTGAGTCCGAACACGAGAGTGAAGCCAACCTATGAATCCCCCGTGGCCGCGGTCACCGCAGGCACGAGTGTCACGCATGAGCTGAGTGATCGCACCTCAAAACTGCAGATTTCGGAAAAACGGAAACGGGAACCAGAGGTTGTGCTTAACGAGAGTCCGCCCATGGAGAAGCGGCCCAAGCAACACCGAAGCATGGCGTACTGAAACCTGTGAGGCTGATGGCTCGTATGACCAGAGCAAAGGCGCGAGGGCCGTCGAGTGTGATGCCATTACGGAAGACCCCCGGACGTCCACGCACTATCAAATCACCGGTGAAGACTCAGCTTTCAGATCGGAAGACCCCGAAGACGCCAAAGATGGTTATGGCGGCCTCTCCATTAATACTGTTGTTTACTCCTGTTACCCGCGGTGCCCTGGAGCGTCTGCGACACAGGAATAAGATAATCGACGAATTAAAGACACTGGATGCCGTTGAACTTCAGAAACTATGCAAGAAGGAGGGTGTTCCTTACAACGGCAAGATCGAGTCGATACTCGATATCGCCGATGTGAGGGCAATGATGAAATTCGGCACGGCGACGCAGGAAAGTGCCGAGGTGATTTGTGTGGAGGAATCGGAGGACCTGGCGGATGGCTTGGACCGAGGTGTTGGATCCGACGATGTGGTGGCTTGAGAGCCCTTGGAGACGCCGAAGCTGTGGAAGCTTTGCAAATTCATCACTGAGTTGAGAGGGGAGTCCTATGCGTTTGACCAGAGAGTGGAGGAGCTGCTATGTCTGGTGATCCTGAGCTTGGCGCTGGATGGACAGATTCGTTGGTTAAGTAAGTGCAACAGCCATTTCGTCAAAACGGACATATTATATTTTTTGAACGAAATCAAAACTGAATTTTTTTGCCAAAATCCAGTCGGATTTTTTTGCTCCTGGGGCTCTGGCGTTCCCAAAACGCCGGACCCCCTACATGTATGTGGTCTATGGTTGAGAACAGATTAAAAAAAAAAAAAAAAAAAAATAAAAAAAATTGTATCTGGTCTCAACCATAGACCACATACATAGGGGGTAAAAACTCCGGAACACCAGGAGCAAAAACTTCCGACCGGATTTCGGCAAAAAAAGTCAGTTTTGATTTCGTTCAAAACATATAATATGTCCGTTTTGACGAAATGGTTGTTGTGCACTAAAAACTGGCTGCGACTATATGATAAGCATGACCTTGAATTTCTCCGATTATCTAACTGTGTATATATAGGGGCTTCACCCTATTGTAAATCTCTCTATGTCGGGAAGACAACACGTAGCACCATAGTGAGATGGCGCGAGCACAAATATGTTTGTCGAGCACGGAAGCAGTCACACTTCGATAGGTGGATCTGGACATTTGGTATTGAGAAGTACGTGCTAATTCCTGTTGACGTTCTAGAAGTGACGGACCTAGGTAATCTCGAGAAGTTGTACATTCAGCAATGGTCACCGTATCTTAACACCGCCGAAATTCCCAAGGTATCCGGAAAAAAGATGTAAGTCGGGACGGAGGGAGAAAAATCATGAGCCGTCTGTGAGCAAGGTTAATTTTGTCCCAGTTCGAACGCGCCAGAATCGGAATGAGCCGTGGGGCATTAACTTTTTCCGCACACTAAACGAGAATCATGCGATAGGGCGCACCGACGTTTTGTGTGAATTTGAGCCTGGTAATGTATGGAGCGGTGGTTGGAAGGGCATTGTTAAGATATTCGGTGAGACAAAAGTTATTGTTGAACGGGAGGTTAGAAGACTGAAGGAGTGCAGAACTGTCTTTGAGGGAGGGGGTGTCTTTCGCTTAGCTCACATTTGCAAGTGGAAATCTAGGTGCTACTATCTGAAGGGAGTGTTAATTGGGATTCTCCGGAATCCGTGCAGGCTGAATGAGGTATATGGTTGGGGTGTTAAGTCGTTGCTCAGGTTGTATAATGTGATTAAAGATTTTTTCCGAAAGTCAACTCGGAAGTATTTGTGGCGGTTGATCTCCCGAATTTTTCGGGATTGTTTCGATATTTGCATGGGGGCTGATCCTGTGTTTCGTGTGAAATATAATGACCGGATTAAGTTGTCGGATTTACGTAAGCTCATGAACGATTGCTTGATGATGTGTGACTTACCTTCTTGCTACTTGCAGCAAAATCGGAGGAAAATCCGCATTGTATGGGTTAAGAACCCGTCCATAGCGGAGATAGTACACAACCACCGTACATTTGCGAATAGGTGTGTGCTCACCTGTAGTTGTGCAGGTTTGCCCTATCCGCGTGAGGAGGGCCACGTTCGCTTTTGCTTAAGTCAGTTTGAAGGTATCCACCCGTTGTTACACAATGCGAAGAATATACCACGTGTGTTGAAGAACGACAGAGTAGTTAGTCTCCAGAAAGAAATAGCGGTTCGTTAGAAACCACCCTTGGTGTCGATCGACACCCTGCGTGAGTGTTTCTCACAGGCCGAACCACTTGTATCGTGTCTATATGAGCACCATGTCCTCGAGGTGAAAAAATTATTTGAAGGATTAATTCTTACTCCACTTGATCGGAACCCTGGAGAGACCCTCGTAATGTGTCCCGCGGTGTTTTACGATGGGATGATAAATACATTTGTGTTGAATCCAGGGTACAAGATCATAGGGGCATCCGAAGAAGTGACTCTGCGGGAGATTAGAGAGGATATGACGGCTGCGGGACAGGGGAATTTTTTCAAATGGGAGAAGTCGGGGAGATTCGGATCGGCGTATATCGTACCCAAGCACAAGGACTTGGGTCGGTACAGACCGATCTGCCCGACGTTTAATGAACCAATGGTTAAAATGGGTAGATTGGTTTCTAAAACCCTATTTCATTTGCTCGCGACAGTTCCACGAGGTTGGCACTTCCACCGACCATCGATATCATTGTTGCCACGACGTCTTCACGATACCAACAAGAGGATTGTACGTTTGGGGCAAGGATACAATGTGACTTCTCACTCCTTCGACATAAAGGAAATGTTCAGTCGCCCTCCACATAGCGACATCTTGCGGGCCGTTGAGTGGATCATCACTTTCCACCTATCAAAGGAGAGGACCTTCATTTGGGTCAACACGAGGGGGCGAGATGCCTCCTTCAGGGTGACTACTGACGCGGACCACTGGCGCAAATTGAACCTCACTGAGATGATGGCCTTCGTCGAATTGGAGTTGAAACACACGTATACCTTTGCTACCGGTGTGTTGCTGTAGCAGGTGGTTGGGATCCCGATGGGGAAAACAACGAGCCGCCCCTTGGCCGGGATTTTGTGTGCATACTCAGAGTTTTTGTTTCTTCGTAGCCTGGGTAGACATGCCCGCAGCGTGTTTGGTCATCGCCTTGTTGATGATGTCATGTTCGTCACTGTTACCAGGAAGCAAGAGCTAGCAGACCGACAGTTATCTGATTTCGAGTCCTGTTATCCCGACGCCTTAACTTCGAAGCGGACCGACAGTTCAGACGTCAAAAAACGAGGATTGTGTTTGGACGGACGAACCCCTGAAGGTCCATAGTGGACAATCCTTCCTTTCTTGGGGATGCAAAAGGCAAAAGAGCGTCGTGGTTAGTGGATATCTGCATCAAATTGACCGGAATACCACGATCCGGTCTGAGATACCTCAGCGGGTTCTGACTTTGAAACGAGAGCTAGCGAAGAAGGACTTTCCGAGAAAAAAAATCCATCGCGTACTGAAGCACTTCGCGGTGAGGCGTGGCGAGATATGGCAATATACTGTGCGTTTTGTGCAGCAGTAGGATAAGATACACAGTTGGGCGTAGACATTGCTTTGCCCATTTTTGTAGTCGCCACTACGATTTGTCTATTGTGTTGCGTGATTGGATTGTGTGTCAGACAGAGTCGGAGTATTACAGAGCTTTTGGTTTTGTTTGGCTATTAGGATATTAGGACAGGGGTACCTCGACAGCACGTCACTATGCTTTAACCTTTCATTCTCTTTGCTTAATTGATTGGTGTCAGGTGGTCGGAGTAATGTCCAGTTACTTGACTTTGATCGGCTATTAGGACATAGGGTACCTTGATAGCACGTCACCGCGACGGAACCGTTTCAGTCATTCTTCTAGTTCGTCGTTTCTATGTTGGCTTGTGAAGTAGGCAGTCAGGCCCGGCTTATGACCAAGGGAGGCCTTGGCGGTGACCAACCAGCATGACCCGTTTCAGTTTCTTTTGTGAGTGTCGTACCCGGATCGCTTGGCACTGTGCCAGGATTTCCATTTTTACTTTTTTCGTTTTCTGTGAGTAGCCGGGCGCGGTTCGGAACCAGGCATGGGACCAAGCGGTGTGGACCCGTAGTAAGTGTTTTTGGTTTGCGGTTTGTGACCCGGTAGTTTAGACTATATTAGCATTTATTGTGTGTTGTATTGTCAGGACTAACGACCGAGTCTGCTTATGGTCTCCGGAGACCTATTGCAGCGAAGGACGAGAGAGGGTTGGAAGGGGAGCTTGACTAGTGTGGGGGAGGTGGTGGGAAACCCCCAAATGAGATGGCGGTGTCCATCGAAACGCGTCGGCGACGCACTCCAACTTGTATTCTTCCTATCTTTTTGAAACAAAAACATTCAATGATGTTGTATACTTTGCAAGTTTGAACATCTTCGATGTTTGGCTTTGTGATAATACGACTATTACGACTATGAACTTAACCAGACTTATGAAACTTTTACCAAGATATGTGGGAAGCCGGTGGTTTTGGAGAGGCAGTGGGGAGACGAGTCTTGACTCTGCTGCACAAAAAATGTGACTAACTTAACATTTAAAATTATAGATTCATCACCCTTCTCACCGTGGTCTACAAAATGCTCTAAAAAACCTTGGCAGACAAAATAATGGCACTCTTAGAGAACATCATTCACCCTGTCGAAACCGGTTTTATGGCCAACAGGAATATTTAAGAGAATATCATGTTGGTTAACGAGGTGTTTAAACTGATACAAAGGGGCAGATCCAATGCTGCTATTATTTTCATTGACTTTGAAAAGGCTTATGACCATGTCGACTGACTCTTTTTAAACAAATGCTTAGAAAAATTAACATTGACCCGTTGTCCCGGCGTTGGATCAACATCTTGCACACTAATGCTACCACCAGCGTTCAGGTAAATGGCTCAATGGCCCCACAATTCACCCTACATCGATCGGTCAGACAAGGGGACCCCATAGCCCCCTTCCTATTCGTTGTGATAATGGAGGCCTTGTCGGCAAATTTGAGGGAAAATAAAAATATCACGTATATCACGATCGCAGGGCTCCCGGAAGAGGCAGTTCTAGTCCGCTCTCTCTTCGCGGACGACCTCAATATTCTGATGGAAGCAAGCGCCCGCAACATAGAAGAAATCCAAAACCTAATGGACCACGTTTGTGGGTTGTCCAACATGGCCGTCAACTTGCGACAAAACATGGCGGGGTGGTGGCTGCACCACCAGAGGGCGAGGCCCCCGGAAAATCCGTGCATCATGTGGCTGCCTTCGAAGGCCCCCTTGCGGTTTCTAGGAGCATCAGTGATGGCGAGAGGCAAGCTGGTTACCAACAATGACTGGATAAAAGCTTCGACGCAAGGCAAGTTGTCAGGATGGGTCAACAAACACACGTCGATTCTTGGACGGGCCCTTGTTATTAACAACGTTGTGTTGGCATCAACACGGTACACGTCGGTGTTGTGGCCTTTGAGCA